AATATAAACGGTATATATTAGCAGGGCATCAGTGAGGGGTGATAGGTGAGAATGAAATAGCAGGCCAGTTAGCCTGGAATTTAGCACGATGGTTTCCAGGGGCGACCACGTGGAGGTCGACCTGGTTGGGAATATTGCTAACAATGGGACTGGTAGTCCCTATTATTAATAACAACCGCCGACCTCTCAATTTATGGTGTTATTCATGTGTATAGGCGTCCATCAGGTGGGCTGTCAGTTCGTTTGCCATTCCGAGTTGCATAAAAACCTTTTTTCGGTTGTTCAGCTGAAAATGGCGACGTGTATTACTTTTTACGTATATTATGTATGAAGCCATGTATTCACAGGCCAACAGTTCTGTTGTTTCATACAAAAGAAATTGCAAATCGGGTTTATCGCTTTGAAGGCGTGTTCCGCTTTGATTATGCGACATTGTGCACGTGTACGCGGGGGAAATATTAATCTAAGAGAGTGTTTGTAGTTTTTAGAAACCATATTCTTTGTATTGTGCTAACATTTATTATATTGTTTTTTTTTGTGACTTCAGAAAAAAAAAACACATTTAGTGCTGAATTTTACACTTAATTACAAAAAAATATTTAATAACAAGCAAAATCAAAGATACTCGTAGATTGTATAGATAAAGTATCGAGCCTCAAAAACGGGTCAACTTTTTGTCAGCTAATTGTCAAATTAGCAGACAAAAATAACATGTAGGTCCCGGTATAGAATGGGCCACTCCTTCTTATGCCGTAGGTGTCGTAAGAGGCGACTAGGGAGCTTATGGGAGTGGAGGATGGGCAGCAGCGTTCCTCTTAAAACATCTCTAAAAGCCTACGGTTATCAACCCGCCTGCCAAGCGTGTCAACTACTAGCAATACTCTCCTTATAGGGAAGGCTTATGTCCAGCGGTGGACAGTTAAAGGCTGATATGATGATGATGATGAATGCCCACGGTACGGTTTATCACTATATATAGTTGTTGCCACTTTCAATTACGTTTCTATTAACTATAATTGCAAAAATAAACCTTTTCCTTATGACGCCTTCTCATTCCACAAAATTTTATCACAATTCATGGCACACAAGCTGACGGCCCACCTGATGGAAAGAGGTAACCGTCGCCTATAGACATGAGCAGTATCATGGACATAACAGAGTATACTGTTTCGCCGATGATACCATCCATGCGTTGCCATTCCTGAGGACTCAGGTGTTATTCCTCTGTACCCAGTAAATTCATGCCATATCCCACCCTTCAAACCGAAACACAGCCATGCAAACACAACTGCTTCACGGTTGAAACACGAATGTAACAGAGGTACCCAAGCAATCGACTTTTGTACAAAGTCTCCCTCTGGTAAAACATTTTTTGGTTCCTTCACTGTTTCTAGCATTAGGTTATGGAATTCATTGTTGTTATTATTAGTCAGTACAAAATCCATTGATACTTTCAAGCGACAAGTGAAAGATTGTCTTCCCTCTATCTGATTGGTTCTTCATTTCAAAAATTGACATTCTTTATTTATGTTTTTATATAATTATTTATTTTATGATAGTTTGTTTTCTATAATTATTATTATATAATTTTATTTGATTAATACATATTTAATTTATATATATTATTAATTTGCAAAGATAGTGTTTAATTATACAGTACTATCATACCTACTTGTACAACAATTAGTCCATTACCTTAAGGTTGTCTTGGAAAGATTACTCTCAGCAATAAGACCGCCTTACTGTACCTATACAACTGTATCGTTACATTTATTAATTGTCTCGCTTATTCCCTATATTGTATAATGCAAATAAAGTATACTCATTCATTCAATCAGTAATTGTAAAATTGTAGTATGAAATCAAAATGTAAGTGTACTCTCTATATATACTATAATAATGAGTAGGGATAATATTTATATTATTATATGTATCACATCTCCCATATTTAGAACTAACAAAATCTTTCATCGTGCCTCCTCTTAGCGATAAGGTCGGCCATTGTTTTCTCATTGTGATTATTTCTTGTAATTATTTATATTTATAATAAGTTTACTATTGTAATCTTTTGGAGGAAACAATAAAGAGTATCTATCTATCTATCTATCTCTCTCGACTGCGAAAAGAATAATCAAAATCGATTTAAAATCCGTTGTATGAACACAAAAAAACAACAAATTGCCAACCGTCTTCTCTTTGATGTCGCTAAAATTCAAAACATTTCATAAGCCACGCAAAAGATATATTAGCGACGTGTTAGAGCGAATTGTCGGTATTAAATTCAATGGATTTCCCCCCTCGGATACTGTTAAAAGCCTTCTTAAATAATGCGTCGGCGAAAGCCGATGACAAATCCTCGATAATATCTCAAAACAGCCGGCAAAGTATGAAATTCTCTCGTTGGAACTTAACGCTCGTGAGAAGCATGTGTAGAAATTTTTACCAATTTGTTACTGTTCAGATGCTTTGGGTAGTGTAGGCAGGGAGCTCGTGTTGTTAAGTGTGCAGTTTACAAGATTTTGCAATGGGTTTTTACCTTTAATATCGTACATTTAGTAACTTTACATGTATGCGATGTTACTAATTGCAGTTTTTAAATGTTTTTATTGTAAAAATGTATAGGGTGAAAACAAAATCATAAATATCCCTTTATGAAAGTACTTTACTAGTATACTGTTTATTTTTCCCAAAGAAATGTGGCTCGAAAATGATAAAACATTTTGATAACTACTATGGCACGACCAGTTTAGTTTATATCGAGTTACTTTATGAGATTATTTTTTTTGTTATACACGTCTTATTGAGAAAAATGTTTAGTTTTACTGTTAGAACTTTCCACTCCATAAAAGGATTTTTTTAATTTTTTCTCCTATAGATTTTTTCTATGTTATTTTATTGGTAAGAATTAGATAGGAATTGGTAGGTCATTATTTTGTTCTATTTACTAACCAAAGTGATTTATAGTATAAAGTCGTAAATAATAATTCAAGTTGCATCTAATACTGTTTATAATTACTCTTCTCCATCCAAATGTTGCCTGGAACAGATCGCTCTTAGTGAAAAGGCCGTCCATTGTTTTCTTAGTGTAATCTTTTCTTGTAATTGTTTGTATTTATTCATACGTTTACTAATATAATTTTTTGGAAAAAAACAAAGAGTATCTAGCTATCTATCTAGTATGTATTTAGAACAATAGGTAAGCTTTGTTAATTGACTATTTTATATTAAAAAAACTGACGGTTTAAAAGTGCTTGTAATCCAGTTTATTCGAACAAAGATGATTTGAATTTGACTTGTTTATTCAAACACAAGAAGACCGAGCATTCTTCAGAGGTACAGAGACAGTAAACGTATTATATAATGGTATTCACAACGTTTGTTATTGCAGTATTTCCGAACCGATACGACATCATAACCTACAAGAAAAGAGCATATTCCTTTTTAAAAGGCCGGCAGCACACCTGCAATGCCACTGGTGTCGCGGGTGATCATGGGTGGCGGTGATCACTTACCATCAGGTAAGCTGCATGCTTATTTGCCTCCTGTGTTATAAACAAAAGTTATACTTATCTATTTATTTTTGGTAACGATTACAAAATATTGATTTTACAAATGTATTGTTTGAAAAAGACTAATATTGTTACTCACAAGATATAATGAGTCCCAGATTAGATGAATTTTCAATAATACGAATTACCATCTTTTTAAGAGAAAAGCTCAAGATTGATATAATATTTTTACTGCATCCATTTGTTTTTTTTGTCCTATAAAATAACTTTAACCTATTTATGCAGGCAAATGATTTTGTGTTTTCAGCTCTCTGCCTAGCTCCAAAGTCGGCGTATCCCACAGAGTATTCCTGTTTCGGCCTCCGAGACGCGTCGATGTTTTGTGATAAATGTAACTTTGTGTTCAGACCGTCGCCGCATAAATATCACAAATTTATCTGCAAGTTTGACGATCTATCTGTGTTGGTGTCTCTATTAAAAGGAACCTTCGTTTGTTGTAATGATTTTAGAAAGAGGGAAATCATTTATTCAAAGAATAATGCAACTCACACAGTAGCATACAAAATAGGAACAAAATAATAAAAATATATCCAATCTATTGCCAATGACAATTTTGTACTGCACGTATGAAACAACAGTTGGGAATTGGGTTATTAATTAGGATCGGAATGCAATAGTTTGTATTAGCAAATTACGCTAATATGTATGTATTAAAACAATATGAAAGTATTTTACCTATTTATATATACAGCTTAGATTATGTAGACAGAGTGTAATGCCATACAAATGCTTCGAGAAGAGAAGATCAACTTTTTCATACAATTTTTATTATAAATAGTTATAACTTCTATATTTATTTTGTAATTTTTGTACCTTTTTAATGTGTAAAACCTTCTTTTTTTACTAAATAATTAAATATAGATACGTCAATATACATTATGTATGTAAATATATAGAACACTGATAAAAAAACAAGTCAGCTAAATAGCTAACAAAAAGTTGACACGTTTTTTAGACTCTATGCTCTATCTATATAATCTATGACATTTATTACAATACAAAAAAAAATTAATTACAATTTCATTATTACTTCAAAATAATAACAAAAAAAAATCATCATTTTCCCATTTAACTACAGCCAGATATATTCTATGTTTATTGTAATTTAAAATAAGGATATTTAAATTTGAACCTTATTCTTGAAGAGCAAAAATAGAGAGTTAACTAAATAAAGGCCGGTGTGGAGTACAGGCCACATATATTATTTATAGCTATATTATTATTTACCAAATTCGAAATTGACACGCATATCTATTGTTTTCCTTTTGGCTTCCCTTTACGGCCCTAGTCTTCTAAGTTCCTTTGACTATTATATACATATTTCCAATTTCCATTCCTGGTTTCCTTTGTCGCCCACATATTTTGGTCCTTCTCGGTTTGTATTCAGCACCAGTTTCCTCATTTATCAAATTTATTATTTTTCTCAAAATTATGATCACAAGATCGAAGGCGGCGATGAGGGAAACCCAGGTCGAAGGTCAACAGTTTCATCTAGGTAGTGTTATAAATAGTGAAAATGTTCGGTCACGACATTCTGCGGAGTCGGTGCGGGAAGCGCTATCAGTTCCGTTACCGCCCGATCCAGATTTTGAGCCGTCGGAATCGTTCTATCATCAGCAAGAGGTTGGCTCATTGAATAATGCAGCGCTTGTATCGCCGTCGAGGGGTAGGCTGTCAGGAGCACAGCAGTTACCTGGCTCGGAGTGCGGTCAAGGATGCTTTTCGAGGAGTCCGGTTAGTGAGCATCGTAACGACGATACGCGTCACGTATTTCCACCGGGACCAACTGTGCAGGTGAGTGAACTAGGTCGTTTGGCAGATGCCATTTTCACCTTAGCTAAGAAATCTGCTAGACCTTCATTTAATGACCTTGCCACCTTCAGTGGTAACGTTCATGAGTGGTTATTGTTCAAAAAGAGTTACGACGATAGCAAATCCTATTTTACACCTCACGAAAATATGTCTAGGCTACGCAATGCGTTACGTGGTAATGCTCGAGAGGCAGTCTCGGTGTTATTACTTACCTCTTCATGTCCAGAGGATGTACTGCAAGCTCTTGAACTACGTTTTGCTCGACCTGAGCAAATTATTTTGTCGGAGATATCCGCAGTTCGAGCCCTACCTAAGTTGGGTAGACAGCCTAATGATATTTTCACTTTAGCCACAAAAGTAAAAAGCAGTGTAAATATAATAAATTTATTAGGTCATAGAGAATACATTTATTCACCTGAATTATTACACAACGTTATTTCTAAATTAACACCTTTATTATATGACAAATGGTGTGACTTCGCTCAGGCACACCATACACCCGGTCAACCACAGCTCGAGTTGCTCGCTGAATTTTTATTGCAGGAGGCCAACAAACAAGCACGTTTTGGGCTGCCATATGAGGCGGTGTATGTCCCATCTCATACAGAGAGGACAAGGGCAGCGGTCACGTCTGCGGCGCCGCGCACCGATTGTACGCAGGCTGCATATCGCTACGCGCCTTCAAGACATACAGTGCATACTGCCAATGCATCTGTGCCACTTCAAATAAAATCGCCTATATCCTGTGCATTTTGTTCTGGTCCACATAGTATAAAGACCTGTTTTAAATTCTTAGCACTCGCAGTCGACGAACGTCTCACTTGGGTGAAACAAGAGAAACTTTGTCCGAGGTGTTTAAAGAGAGGTAAGCATAGTTGGAGATTTTGTAAAGCTCGACAATGTGATATTTGTAAACAAAATCATCATAAATTTTTACATTCTGAAATTAGTTCGAATATTACAAATTTACATAATACAAATATTGACACTGTCACTTGTCAAAACGAAAATATAAATTCTTCTTCTAATAATAAATTAGTTCCGAGTACGAGTACTAGCAATGCAGTTTCTTTTTCAAATAAAGAAGTGCAAAAAGATCGGATACTTTTAAAAATTTTACCTGTTATATTATCTGGTCCAACTGCCGATATCGAAACTTTTGCACTTTTAGACGATGGTTCTTCCGTTTCAATAATTGATGCCGACTTAGCGAAGCAGTTAGGTCTTAGTGGACCTCAACAAAATATGAATATCACAACTGTTGTTGGTACTCGTAGTGTCACCACTAGTTTAGTAGATTTTAATATTAAGGGTAAGTATTGCACTGAGGTTCATACTATTAAGGGAGCCCGAGCTGTACCTGATTTAACATTAGCGTCTCAATCGGTTTCTGCTAATGAGTTGTTACCTTTAGAACATTTGTGTGATATTATTGACGTTCTTTCATACTCAAATGCGACTCCAAAGCTTCTTATAGGCTTGAGTGACTGGCATTTATTAATTGCCAAAGAGAATCGCGTAGGTACTCGTTCCCAACCTATGGCCACTCGTACGGCCCTCGGGTGGGTGTTGTATGGATTAGCTTCAAAGATTACTAAACCGATTCAGTTCATTAATCATTGTGTGTTTTCTGAAACGGAAAATGATCTTGATATGTTGATTCGAGATTATTATAGATTAGACGCAATAGGTTTAAAACTATGTGAACCTTATACCGCTTCTGAGACAAGAGCGATTCAAATTCTGGATAAGACTATACAGCGTCTTCCGAATGGTCGTTTTGAGGTAGGTTTACCATGGCGTTATGATTCACCAATTATGCCGAATAGTTATAATCATGCTTTGTCAAGATTGAATGGTTTAAATAAACGATTCAAGCGGGACCCTAATTATCAGTTATTGTATAAAGAAAACATCGAAGCTTATGTCAAAAAAGGATACGCTGAGGAGTGTAACGATTCTGATGATGCTCTTTCAGGCTGTAAGCGTTGGTATTTGCCTCATTTCGGTGTGACAAATCCCAATAAGCCCGGGAAGCTGAGGATCGTTCACGATGCTTCTGCCAAATCCAACGGTGTCAGTTTGAATTCATTATTATTGCCAGGCCCAGACTCACTTCAATCTTTAGTAGGTATTCTCATTAGATTTAGGGAAGGGCAGGTGGCGTTGTCAGGAGATATTAAAGAAATGTTTCCACAAATTAAAATTCGTGAAACGGATCGCGACTGTCAACGCTACCTGTGGCAACCCGATGGACCAGATGGCCCAATCCGCGAGTTTAGGATGTCATCTCTTATTTTTGGTGCCGCGTCGTCTCCTTTCACTGCTATTTATGTTAAAAATAAGAATGCTAGGGATTTCGAAAAGCAATTTCCTGAGGCGGCTAAAGCTATTATTGAGGATCACTACATGGATGATTTTATTGGTAGTGTAGATGATATTGAAGTCGCTGCTCGTCTCGCTGGGGATATAGTAGATATTCACAGTAGATGCGGTTTCGAAATGCGTGCTTGGATATCAAACAAACCGGAAGCTTTGCGTTTAGTTCCTAGTGTGTTGCGTAAAGATGGTGAAACTAGTGTGAACCTTGACATAAACAAAGCAACTACCCGTGTTTTAGGCTTGTTTTGGAACCCTGTAAATGATTCGATAAGTTTTAATGTCAATGTTCAACAGCCTCATAATCATTACTACACTAAACGTCAAGTTTTAAAGGATTTAATGAGAATTTTTGATCCATTAGGTTTTTTATGTCCATTTATCACACAGGGCAAGATTTTATTCCAACGAACATGGCGATTAGTCACAGGTTGGGATGACCAATTGCCCCAGAGTGAATGTGTCAAGTGGTTAGAGTGGTATCGTGGTTTTGAAATGTTAAAGTCACTATCAATTCCACGGTGTTATTCAAATTTTATCGGCCCAGTTAGTCGTGAGTTGCACGTGTTTTCAGACGCCAGTGATCAAGCTTATGCATGCGTTGCTTACTGGCGACTTACGTATTGTGATGGTTCGGTAAAAGTCGCGTTTGTTATGAGTAAATCGCGAGTCAGTTCTCTTGAACCAACAGCTATAGCTAGGCTGGAACTTCAGGCAGCTTTGCTAGGGGTACGCCTTGCAGACACAATCACTCGGGAGCAGAGACAAAAAATCAATTTCCGTTATTTTTGGTGTGATTCGCGCGTAGCTTTGTCGTGGATTCGTAGTGATGCGCGTAACTATAAAGCATTTGTCGCGAATCGGGTCGGAGAGATTTCAGAATCAACCTTACCGCGCGAATGGCGTTGGGTACCGTCCGATCTGAATGTAGCAGATGACGCCACTCGCGTGAGTTCTAAGAGTGTGGTTGAACTCAATAGATGGTTGAACGGACCATCATTTTTGATGTCACCTGTAGATGAATGGCCAGTAGAGCCCGAAGGGCCGGTCCCCGTTATTGGTCAGAACCTCAAGTGTCATCAAACTTCTTTGGTAAATTTTCGGCTTCATTTTAATGTTATTCCAAATTCTAAAAACTTTAGTAGCTGGCTGCGGCTCTTACGAGCCACGGCCAGAGCTCATCAGTTTTTACGCTTACTTAAGGAAAGTAGATTAAGATCTGTAAATAATAATGATCGTTTTCGTAATAGGGGTGGGCTACGTCCGCTTCTCTGTAAAGACATGAAGTCTGCGGAGCTTCATTTATTGCGACAATGTCAAGCGGAGACATTTTCTGCTGAGATTGCGGCCTTACAACGTAGGGAACCACTACCTAAATTCAGTAAAATTGCAAAACTTTCCATTAAGCAGACTTCAGATGGCCTTCTTCGTCTAGATGGGAGAGCATCTGCTACGCCTGATCTCTGTAATGATGTCAAGTATCCTCCGATTTTAGATGGTCGTCACCACATCATCCACTTACTTATTCATTACTATCACGTTTGGGCTTGTCACGGATATAACGAGACCGTTGTGAATGAGTTGAGACAAAGGTTTTGGATTTTTCACTTACGTCCTACTGTTCGTTCAATCGCTGCTAGATGTCAAGCATGTCGTCTGAGAAAGGCTTCATCTTCCATTCCACCTGAGGGAGATTTGCCGGTTTGCAGATTAGAACACCATCAGCACCCATTTTTAAACACCGGACTTGATTACTTTGGACCAGTTGACGTTACCATTGGAAGGAGACACGAAAAACGCTACATTGCGCTCTTTACCTGTCTTTCCATCAGAGCAGTTCATTTAGAGGTTGTTGGCAATTTGAGTGCGGATGCTGCTATAATGGCACTTAGACGTTTTATGGCACGCCGTGGAGTACCAAAGAAGATTTTTTCTGATAACGCCAAAGCATTTGTCGGTGCCAGTCGTGAAATAAGATCTATGTGGAGAACTATGAATCATACAGAAGTGGCAGAGTATGCGGTATCGCGCGGCATAGAATGGAATTTTATCCCACCGCAGTCGCCTTTCATGGGTGGATGTTGGGAGAGGCTGGTTCAATCGGTCAAGAGAGCGCTGACAGCTACGGTCAAGAGCAAATCATTTAAGGAAGAAATTCTCGTCACTCTTTTGGCCGAGGTAGAACACGTTATAAATTCACGGCCATTAACCCATGTTCCAGTTGCAGCTGATGATGAACCTGCACTTACTCCAAACCATTTTCTCCTTGGTCGCTCCTCTGGATTGCCTGGACCCGGTTCTTTGAACGATGGAGATTTATTAGGAAGATCGCACTGGCGTAAAGCCCTAAGATTAGCAGATCACTTTTGGTCTAGATGGCTCAAAGAATATGTGCCCAGTTTGACACCACGCAGAAGCCAGAACTCTCAGCTACGATATTCCAATCTGTCAGTAGAGGACATAGTCTTGATCGCTGATGCAAGTATGCCACGGGGACTTTGGCCTAAAGGCCGTATAACTAGAGTGTTTCCTGGCCATGATGGAATAGTGCGTGTAGCGGACGTAGCGACAGTTGGGGGGGTTCTTAGGCGTCCCTCGCGTAAACTTATCAAGCTGAGCACTGTGTAAATAGTTTTTTGATTTAATACTTTTTGATATTTGTCTGTTATGCGTGTATGCCTGTTCTCCACGAACATTTGTTAGTACCGAGCCTAACGGGGTGGGCAATATGTGGAGTACAGGCCACATATATTATTTATAGCTATATTATTATTTACCAAATTCGAAATTGACACGCATATCTATTGTTTTCCTTTTGGCTTCCCTTTACGGCCCTAGTCTTCTAAGTTCCTTTGACTATTATATACATATTTCCAATTTCCATTCCTGGTTTCCTTTGTCGCCCACAGCCGGGTCACGAAGGCGACAGACGTCAAAGCCGCCAGACTCCAGTTGATTTAGCGAGCATTCCGCATTCAGCTAATTTGACTGCGACTCGTCCCTACTCTTTGAAACTGTAACAGTGGAGTGAGGACACCACCACGTGCGACATTTGGATGTGGCATTTCAACTTTTAAGCTATTTGCGAACAAGGGGAAATATCTTATTAGAGATATGCTCGCCTTTGCACATTACATTTAAAATTAATTGTTCTTATCATTATGTTTGTGTAGTTTTTAATTATCAAAAAAGTAAAATATTTCTTACGAAGCAGTTCTTGCTCAATAAAAAAAATCACAGCTTCAATCGCCACAGAATAAACATAGAACTAACATGGGAGTAAATCCAAGTGATTATAAAATAAATTCCTCTTCCTTTCCGGTGGGTGTTTTTTTTATGGGTGAAAATGGTATGAACCCCGCCTGCGCTAACGGTATACGCTTGCGGAGCACCAGTGAAGGGTGATAGATAAGAATGAAAACAGGCCAGTTAGCCCACCATGATGAATTCATCAGGAATTAACCATGATAGTTTCCAGGGAGAACCACGAGGAGGTCGACCTGGTTGGGTATATAGCTAGCAATGGGATTTTCAGTCTCCATTACTAACAATCTCTTTCCCCCCTTCCGGTGGGTATTGTAAGAGGCGACTAAGGTACTTAATGGTCGAAGGATGGGCAGCATCGTCCTTTTTAATACATCAAAACCTAACTGCGGTTGCAAACTCGCCTACCAAGCATGGCAATCATTGCCAAAACCCTCCTTTAGGGGGGGGGGGGCTAGCAATACTAGCAATACACCCTATCAGGTCGACCTCCACGTGGTACCCCCTGGAAACCATCGTGAACAATTCTTATTAAATTCGTCACGATGGGCTAACTGACCTGCTTCATTCTCACCTATCAGGCTTCACTAGTGCCCCGCCGGTGTATACCAATAGCGCGGGTGGGGTTACCATTCCATTATCACCTATTAAAAAAAACCCTCCTTTATGGAAGATATTTGTGTTCAGCAATATACACAGGTATAGTTCATATGATGATGAAAAATATTTGTAAAAATCTATTTAAAACAGACGACGTAATCATACATAAAAACATACAGACGAATTGAAAGAAACTCCGTTTGGAAATCATTTATAAATGCCACCTCCATACATTCGTAGATCGGATGTTTGTACGTCTGAAGCTCTCGGCGTCTGATTGCCGTCGTCTCGAATATTTATTAAATAAATATTGAAACGTTTCATTTGCTGAATTTTGTGGCGCCTGGAACTGTCGCGCGACGTTCCGCGTCTTTTCTTGGCAAATATCTGGATTGTTGGGTGCCAATGGTGAATGTTTCACTTTATAACCGATTTTAAAAGGAGGACGTTAATTAGATTACTTTTTGTTACATATACTTTATGTGTATATAAGGCGATATTTTTGTGACTTCTGAATTGATTTCGATGATTAATTTTTTATTTTTCAAAGAAAAAAATACTTTGTATAAAATGTTGTTTGCTTGGATATACTTATGTTTCATACTTATGTTTCTTCCATAAAGCATGGTTGTGTTTCAGTTTGAAGGGCAGTGAAGTTACAGGGTATTGAGTCATAACATGTCAGTCCACAGGAGTGGAATGCCGTGGGTGACACAGTGTATTATTGGATACAGCCATGAACAGCACAAAGGCTGTTCATGTATACAGGCTGTTCTTAATTATGTGACGTTTAAAGAAGTTGCCCATCCTTGTATCAGTAACATCCCTTAGTCGCCCCTTGCGACACCCATGGAAAGGATGGGGTGGTCCATTCTATGCCGGGACCACACGGCTGCATTACATTGTTACATTGATGGTAAATTATGTAATGTTCATAATGCCATTGCTCCACTAATATGCACACAATGCATACCTGTCGCAACTTCCACCTAATACAATAACATCCATCAAAGCACTCCTAAGTAGACACTATCAAGCAGGGCTGAAACTCGAGCTGTTCATCCCTCCCTCTCGCACCTGTGACACTCGTGTATCACTATCTCCTTCTTTAATTAACCCGCTGTCAGTTTAGATTGAAAGACTCTCGACACAGCGGCAGTGACTCCGCCAATTTGACGGTAAACTTGTGAAGTGTCTATGGGGATGAGTTGCCATTATGTGTCATGGCAATAGACATTGTGGTAGATTAAAACAGTTAACAACTCCGTTGAAAAATATTTTTAAGAACAAACTTATAATCCAGTCCGCCATCTTGTGAAAGCGGCCATTTTAAAATAATTTAATTATCTTTATCGTTACCTAGTTTTCAAGCTCTTTCATTCAACAAATTGTATTATTTTTATACAATTTAGAATGGACTAATTACATTTCTGTTTTGACAAAGGTTGACTGGGAGCTATATATATATATATATATATATATATACTATCACTGAGGTGATAAACAAGCAGCACTTGACAGAATATGGTGACCGTTACCTGACATAAATAACATGAACAGTACCATGGACATAACAGAGTGTACTGTGTCACCAATGATAACCCTCATGCGTGGGGGAAAGGGATTATTAGTAATGGGGTCTAATTAACCAATTGCTAGCAATACACCCTGTCAAGCCAACTTCCACGCGGTTCCCCTTGGAAACCATCGTGATTAATCGTAGTCGAATTAGTCACGATGGGCTAACTGACCTGCTACATCGTCACTTATCATCTATTACTGGTGTCCAGCCAGCGTAAGCCGATGGCGCAGACAGGATACCATTCCATTTTCATCCATTAAAAAACCCTTATGCGTTGCTATTTCTGGGGACTAAGGTGTTATACCTCTGTACCCTGTCACTCAATTGTCATAGCCATATTTGTGTCAACCCTGCTTTTAATTCAGCAGGGTTGACACAAGTGCAATTTGCTTCGGCAATTATAAACCACGACTGCTCTGTCTAAAATGAACTACATATTAAAGAAATATATATATAATTAGTGTTACTCGAGATGAAGTAAAGATTCTTAGTTAGTAACGACACACTGTGTGTCCAAATCTGTTCAGACATTTAGAAATTATGGTGAAATAAAAAAAAACTAACATACAAGGGTTCACATAACCCTTACAATATTTACTCTGATCTTTTGTGCAGTCGTATAAAAATTTATACCATTTGTCATTTTATAACAGCGGCCATTTTTAAATTATTGAATGGAATCTATATTGAGTAGTATGCAAAATATTTATGTATAGTTTTGCTTATTGCTTAATATAGCTGTGTTTCAGTTTGAAGGGTGGGATATGGCGTGAATTTACAGGGTACAGAGGAATAACACCTGAGTCCTCAGGAATAGCAACGCATGGGGAGTATCATTGGCGAAACAGTATACTCTGTTATGTCCATGGTACTGCTCATGTCTATAGGCGACGGTTATCACTTTCCATCAGGTGGGCCATCAGCTAAACGTTCAGCTAATGGCAAACAGCCATTCTAAGTTGTATAAAAAAATTGTTTCCTTAAAAAAAGCGGCTTCAATCCAAAGATTTCGGAGTTCTTAGCTTCAATCGTGACAAAAATGAAAGATTGTTGGCCACTCATAATGAAATTTAATATTTTTTCCAAAGAATCATAAGTTATGATCAAAAAAATAAATATAATTTTAATTATTTTATACAACTTAGAATGGCTAAAAAGCTGACGGTCCACCTGACGGAAAGTGGTAACCGTCACCTATAGACATGAGCAGTACATTGGACATAACAGAGTATACTGTTTCGCCCATGATACCCCCCATGCGTCGCCATTCCTGAGGACTCAGTTGTTATTCCCAGTAAATTCACGCCATATTCCACCCTTCAAACCGAAACACAGCCGTGCAAACACAATTGCATCACGGTAGAAACACGAATGTGACAGAGGTACCCAAGCAAACGACTTTTGTACAAAGTCTCCCTCTGGTAAATAATAATAAGTAATAATTGAACTATTTGACGCACTGTGACGGAATGGTTTTTTTTATCCATGTTTCTTCAGTAAAAATATTCAGTTTAATTGATAGAATCCTTCCTAAAAGAATATTTATAGTTTAATCTAAACTAATTATAACAGACTGAAAGTTTAAAAACAACTAACGTTAATTTTAAACTTTCGCGTTGTTTGAACATATTTTTAATACACCATCTGAACTTTATGCGATGAAAAATTTTGATTTTCACGTGATGCGACGTGGATTCCACGTCGAAAAGTCGGTAAAAAAGAAGCAGGTATGTAGGTACTATTTATATTGCAATTTTTTTTCTGATATTTTAATTACAAATTTTTATTTAATATTAGTTTTTACTATAATTGTTTATTATAAATATACTCTTGAATAAATATTTAGCTAGGCTAGATAAATTAGGTAGGCTTAAATATTAATCTAAGGTCCAAGATAGCGGAGGGTTTATATTTCGGGTCCACTGTGGTCGGTGACATGCTCGAAAGATCTTCATTATTCCATATATAAATATGTACTTTAAAGGCCTGATGTGCAGATGACGGACTTTTTGTCCGCGGACGTAAAATTCCTTAGTATAAGTCTTTTTTATGGGTGAAGATGGAATAGAATAGAATAGAAAATGAAGCCCCGCCTACGCTATCAGTATACGTTGACGGGTCAGCAGTGAAGCGTGACAGGTGAGGATGATTACAGGTCAGTTGGCCCATAGTGACTACTTGA